TCTCATCCTGTCTGATGATGGAAAACAAGTACACTGTGGTGAAGAGGAGAATGATCGTCCAGACAACCCAGAGAGATTTTCTGTGGAGCGTCTTGTTTTAGGAAAGCAGAGTTTCTCTTCAGGCAGATTTTACTTTGAGGTTCAGGTTAAAGAAAAGCCTGACTGGGTTTTAGGAGTGGCCAGACAGTCAGTCAACAGGAAGGAAGTCATCACACCGAGTCCTGTGAATGGTCTCTGGACAGTAGGAGCATATGAAAACATTTGTGGAGCTCTTGAAAATCCTACAGTCCCACTCTCTCTTCAGCGTGGTTCTGAGAAAGTGGGGGTGTTTGTGGATTATGAGGAGGGTCTGGTCTCCTTTCATGATGTAGATGATGCAGATGTGATCTACTCCTTTACTGGCTGGTCCTTCACTGAGAAACTCTACCCATTGTTCTGTCCCAAAGTTAATGTTGATAATGATGATGAGAACAGTTGTGGTAAAAAAATGAAACCTCTGATCATCTGTCCTGTCAATCAGTCAGTCTGATAGTTTACCATGTGGAAATTGGACCATATACAGAGTCATCTAAACCTTTCAGCGGACACAGAAAAGAAGTCATAAAAAACACAACTGAGAAAACTGCAGCTGCTGATCATGGTCATGATATACAGTTAGAAGCTGCAGATTAATCCAGTAAGCTGAGTCGAGTCAGTTGAGTTTTTGTTAAACTGTTTTCAAGTTGAAAAAAATGATTACAACATAACAAAATAGAAACTCTCCTTTTCTTTTGCTTTCAGTGTTCAAAGGCACAGACATTAAAGCATATACTTATATATATATATATACACATGTTTGAGGAAACATGTTAATATTTTATTCTTTTCATTCACCTTTTCTTAAATATCAAAATCAGGATTTCTGAAAATATTTCTTTAATATGTACACTATGCTTTTTACAATACAATAAATATATACAATAAATACAATTCTAAACTTTTATTTCTTCTTTGATGATAATCAGCCGGTGAACTTCAGCCTTTTTACCTCTGAAGTGACAGCAAGACCAGTTCTTTTAGAAAGACCCACATTTGCGCCAGTAGCATGAAAACTATCATACATGTCAGAAATAAATTTGGAAAAGGCATTTTTTTAGTAGTCATCTAGCTGGCTAAGTTTTCATTATTTTTTCTCTCTGATGTTCAGCTTGTATTAAGACGACAAAAATGCAGCATTTTAAGTGAAAATGCAGCAGAGGGCGCTCTTAGCCAGGCCCACTCTGTTCTTTATTTAAAACATTTAAATCATTGTGTGTTTGATTAGTGATTATTCAGCTCATCAGAGCTGATTCAGTGTTTCACTCTGTTTTTTCTTTATTCCAGTTTACTGTGCAGCACATGTTGGCTTTATTTTGGAATTATTTTCTCTTCTCCTCTAAGACATCTTTGAACTAGTTTTTGTGTTTGTCATGGTTTATGTCCTAGTTCTATATTAGTTTTTCTTCAGCTCAGTTTTCAGCAGTATAGTCTCTGTGTCTTTCAGCCTTCCCAGTCACAAACCCATGACTGTCTGTTTTCTCCCTAGTCCCAGTGTCAAGCCCATGTGTCTTAGTCATGCTCTCAGTGTTTGTACTTCCTGCTTTGTTAATCTTCCATCTCATGTGTATTCTGTTCAGTTTTGCTTCCCCTGCATCGTCATTCAGTTTAGTGTCAGCTGTGTTCCCACCTGTGGCCTGTTCTCTTGTAGTCCTCTTTGTGTGTATATTGTCTGCATTTCTCTCTGTTGTGTTCTCACTCATGCTTGTGTCCTCTCTTTCAGTATGTGTTTCATGATATCACAAAAACATGACTGGTCAACTTACAGGTTGATGTAAGAGAACAACCACAAGTGAGATTGTTCGGCAATCAGCTGAGCCAGCTTCATATTTTGCTGGACCAACTGGACCTGAGAATTAAATAAGTTACTAACTTAAATATTTGAGTTATCAAAATTTCTGTCAGCTGAATATTTTGAATCGTAAACATGGTACAAAAAATACATTTAAAGTTCCATTAATGTAACCGTTTGCCACCCCCCACCAACCCCTGTTTTTTCCCTTTTACTTTCACTTCCACCAGTCCTGATCTGTAACAGCAGAGATAAGGCTGGTTGGGGGGAAGGTTTGAAACTGCTCAATTGCAGCTGTTTCACAGTAGCAAGTGACGTTAAGTAAATAAACGAGAAATAGACCGGACTTCAAGAATCAAGAGACTCAGAAAAAAAAGACAACAAAATAGAAACAATCCTATTGTGTGTCAAACACTTCCTTTGCTTCTTCATTCAACGTGTAGAATTGCAGCTCTGCACCTAGGCTGCCACAATCTGTAGAATGAAGAAAGTGCATGCATGGTTTGCTGGCTTTGCAGCTGCTGTGACGGGCTGATAGAGAGCAGCCAGACTTCTGTGTCTAAAGATTAATTATCAGCTGTGTTGTTCACTGTGAGAGCCTAAAACACAGTCCTGAGCTGAGACATTGTCACATATTTATTTGCTCTTAAAGTTGAAACTAAG